TGAACGGGATATATATATATATATATATATATATTATATATATATATATATATATATATGTATATATATATATATATATATATATATATATATATATATATATATTGTCATACTTTTTCTTTTCCAACCAAAGAAAAATAAATAAAAAAATCCATCGAAATAAAATTTCAAGATATCAATATAAACAAATTGTATATAGTAATTTAAGATAAGATTTAGTGTAGATAAGAATAGAAATTTGTCTGGACCGAAACGACCTTTTTCCGTTTCAAACAAAATTATCAAAAAACCTCTGTTTAGAATTAGAAGACATTTTACCTGTAAGTTAATCTTTTCATTGTTTGTATAGCTCGAGTATTAAATGACCATATTTTAATCTTTTAAAATATGTATAAATGATGTATTGAAAAAAAAACCAATTTTAAAGTAAGCTATTTAGTTTTCTCTGAAACCGAAATTAGGCTTTTCCAAAATCATGGTAAACACAATTTAAGCTTTTTGATTGGACGGTCGTTTTTAAATGGAAATTTGGTGAGTCGATCATGAGAGAGGAGAAGTTAGTCATATTTTGGTCATCGAAAGGAAACAGTCGTTTTGTCTCAAGATAGGGTGTGGTTCGTGAGTTTGGATACCGGCGTAACGAAAAGAAGTGAATAGTTTGAAGAAGGAGATAACAAGTGGATTAAAAGAGGTCCTTGTATCTACCGTGGGCATTTTATAAAGTATATGTGAAAGTATTCTTACGGCAGCAGGTTGACAAAAGGAGGTCCTGGTGTCATAAATAAGTAGCGGAGTTTGGAGAAGTGAATCAGGTGTTTTTTGTGTAGTCTGAAGGAGGTTTGCAGAGACGTAAAGAAGGAGCCGAGGTGCCAAAGAGGGGAGATCACATATTTGAGGAGACTGGACTTTTCTGGGTATGTTCCAACATACAACTCAAGAAGAAAATAAACTGTAAGTGTTTGTACAATTGAATTTTATATCTGTGAAGGATCGTTTCGACATCATGGTCATTATCATTAAAATTTAAGAACTGAGGTTTTGTTAGGCTAATCAAAAGTTTAAAGTTTTGTGGTTTCTTTTTTCAAGTAAAGAAAATTTTAAGTAAAATTGGTTTTTCACGTAATATAAATATATGTAGCTTTATAATCTTATTATCATAATAATTTGATTTATTTTCTTGTATGCTGATTGATAAGATAACGACAGAATTTAATAATTGTTTTATTCGTTCATATAAAATAAAGAAACGTAAATCTTTGTAATATAATATATTTGTATTCTTATCCTTTTCTTCTCTATCCCGATAAAAGACAACTAGAAAATCTTTTGAATCCATCGAACACAGGTAATATAAGGATTATTTTACTTTTGATAACAAATAAGTTATAATTTTTTTTATTGGCTCAATAAACTAAGTTTGAACTCAAAATAAACAATCATAACAATATATATATTAAGTTTTATACATACACGATGAATGTAGATATATTAAATATGTTATATCTATTTTAGTTATTCCAAATATAGTTTTTAGTGTTATGGTATGGGAGATTGTTGCCCAATAGCGGCAAGAATGGAGAAAAATGCTAAACGCGGCCAAGACTCACTTAGATTTATAGACCCACGAAAGAAGAAGTAAATTTTAGTCCTCAAATGTCATTTTATGTTTTAATATGGTACTATAACTATATTATCGAGTTTATATTTATATTCTTCATTTAAAAATATAAGCCATTCATGTATGACCACTCTGTAGTAGTTTCGAAAATCTAGTAATTTGAGGCGGATAGGTGATTGGCCTCTCGCGCCCGATTCTGATTTTCAGACCAAACAGCTCATGCGTGGACCAAATTAACACACTAAGAATAATTGTAGAACAGTCACAGGAATTCAACTCTCCTCTCTTTGTGTGCTTTGTGGACTTCAAGAGAGCTTTTGACACGCTCACACATACGGCCATATGGAAAGCACTGCAGGAAATAGGAATACCAGAAAAAATAGTAAATCTCATCAAAGAACTCTACAGTGACACAGAAAGCAAAATCCTACACAACGGCATAACATCTGACCCAATAGCTATGCTAAACGGAGTAAAGCAGGGCTGTGTTTTATCCCCCATACTATTTAACATTGTACTGGACTCCGTACTAACAAAGGTAAACTCTAATAGAGGAATTTACTGGGGATTAACAAACAGACTGGAAGACCTAGATTACGCTGATGATATATGCCTCCTAGCACATACAAAACAGGACATGCAACTCCAAGTAAACAAAGTACAAGAAGAATCAAAGAAGGTCGGTCTAGAAATAAACATCAACAAAACCAAAGAAATGCGATTTGGTACCAGAAACAACCAACCTATTATGATCAACGACCAGAAAATTGGGAGAGTAGCGGAATTTGTATATCTGGGCAGCATCTGTATTACTGTATGGCTGCGAAACGTGGAAGATATCAGCACCCATAGTACACCAATTACAAGTTTTCATCAATAGAGCGTTACGAAAAATCCTTCGTATATTTTGGTCTAACCGAATCTCCAATGAAAATTTATGGAACCAAAGCAACCAAGAAAATGTTATAAAGCAAATAAGGCGAAGAAAATGGAGATGGCTGGGCCACACACTCCGTAGACCGCCAAATGACATTGCCAGGACAGCGCTGGATTGGAATCTCCAAGGCCGACGGAAAGTAGGCAGACCTAAAGGAACTTGGAGAAGGACAGTACTGGACGAAGGGAGAAAAATGGGAAAATCCTGGCTTGAAATCAAAGCACTAGCCAGAAATAGAGTTCGCTGGAGACACTTTGTGGAAGCCCTATGTTCCTCTTAGGAATCTTGGGACTATATATATATATATATATATATATATATATATATATATATATATATATATATATATATATATATATATATATATGTATGACCACTGACAAAAAGATTTTCTTGTAATAAAAAAGGCACTAAAAATATTGCTCTCTCGGGTATGTATATTTGGTTATAGATAACTGAATGAATTATGGTATGCAAATGGTAAGTTGTTTGTTGCAGCCTATGGAAACCTTGGTGCATATTTTCTGCTAAAGCTCTAGTTACTCTAGTATATTATTTAGAATACAGTGTTAGTACGTATTCATACAGTTTCATTCACAAAAGTTATTACAAAGTCTACACACGCTAACACAAATAGAAATAACTTTTTTGAAACGTAGTTTTATACATACACGATGGCGGTAGATAATATTAGACATGTTATATCTATATGTATCTATTTTAGTTATTCCAAATATAGTTTGTAATGTTGTGGTAAGATAATCTGTGGTTTTATTTCCTTTTAACCTAATTTCATTGATTTATCACAAACCTATATGTTGGGGGAGACTAGTTTTTTAGTATATTAATGTAAACTGTAAAGAATTATTATTATGTCAATTATAACAAAATAAAGTAAAGGAGTATATCATACATGTGACTCAATAATACCTAATGGCTAGCAGTAAAGATAAACTATAAAATTTAAAAGCGGAATCTTATATACTAAAACGCTAAGCCCTTTTCTTGTCCACCACTTTATTCAAAAACCATATTAGATAATTAAAATATTTTTTCGGAATATTATTAGTATTACGTATGAGACATGATACTAAATGAGATTGTCAAGATATACTTTTGGTACAAAAATGCACTTCCGGTTTTGAGATGACCGGAAGTTAAATTTACTTTAAGTTTTAGAACCCCACAATGTATATATGGGACAATGTATATATACAATGTATATATAACTTTTTTGGGAAAATTAACACGTTAAATTTTCTGGTGGTTATATTAAATTGGTGCAGCATACGTTGCAAATCGTCTTTACTTTAAGAGAGTAATATTGCGTCGTATGCATGGCAGATTATTTTAAGTTGTTTTTCTCCCATTTGGTATTCTTTTTTAGTTCTTATTTTTTTACCATTTCATCCATAATCCGGTTAAACAATAGAGGACTCAGAAAATCTCCTTGTGTTATCTCATTGCCAGCTTCAATGGGTCGGTTAATTCTTCTTCCACTTTTACTTTTATTGTGTTGTTGAGGTAGATATTTTCGATCATTTTGATTATTTCTATAGGTATCTCTTTTGCGAAAAATAAGTGGATAACGTCTTTTAATTTGACACGGTCAAATGCCTTCTTAAGGTCCAGGAAACGTACATATGCCGATTTGTTGTATTTTAATGATTTCCCTTCTACTTGCCTCATCATAAATATAGCGTCGGTACATAATCTTCCCGACCTAAAACCTTGTTGTTCTTCTGTTACTGTTTTAATTTCATTCAGTTTATTTGTTATCACTTTGGTTGTTTATTTTGGTGCTGTGTTTAATAAATTAATTCCTCTGTAATTTTCCGATTCCGATTTGTCTCCAAGAGAGGTATTAGATGCTTGATTTCCATAATTGAGGAATTCTGTTTTGTTCTATTATTTTTTGGATTAGTTTTAATACTTAGTTGTTTGATCAGATCTGGTCCTCTGTACTTTAAAAGTTCGTTCATATACTCCGTACTTTAGGAGTTCCGTCCATATCGATGGCTTGGTTTCAAATGTGGCTAACTATTAACAAAGTAAATTGCATAATTATTTTAAATTTTGTTCAAAATGTGGCGAATTGCATTAATTTAAAAATTGACTTTCTAGTTCTTAATATATGCAACACGTTAAACACTACAGTAGTTCGTGTGTTGCATGTTGCATGGTCACTAACAATAAATTTTTCCAGTTGCCTAGCAACGTTAATACATCATACAAACAATAATACCCAAACACTATTAAAAATAAACACAGTATTTTGTAATTTGTTGGTAATAAAAATATTAGTTATAAAACGACCAAGAATAATGTGAGGAGAACTAGATTATCGGTAAACTATTTCCCAGCTCTTTAGGCCTTTCAAGATGATTCCGACGACACGGCAACGCTGTTCTAATTTATTTTTATGTACAAACAATTTCTGTCATTAATTGAGGTTAATTTGGAGCTCCCTTTCATCTAGACCTTCGAGCAATTTATCATGACTGAAAATTACATCCTCTTCCCAATTTTAACATCCAGTGATATGAAAAATCTGACCAGGTGCGCGGTCATCAACCTGCATTGATCTGTGGTAAAGACCTGAAGAAGACTTCCGTGGTGTGTCGCCCTTAAAAGGCAGCTTATTATTTTAATATTTAAATATGAAAATAAGTCCCTGGCGGTGTCATATAAGGAGTGTAAGTGATACTTTCCTGAATATGGAGTAGAAAACATTAAGTATAAGGTGAATATTGAATCTTTGCTTTATATATAAATGTGTAAAAGATGCTTGTGAAAGGTTAGGAGATGAATTCTTTGAATTGGAACTAACAGTTTTAGTAAATTATAATTTCAAGGTACATTTTCTAGTAGAGATACACGTATTAAGAATATAGTTAATCATTTTTTATTCATATACATATAGATATCCAATATAACTACAAAACTACCACTGCATCAATTTGTTCAAAGAAATATTTTACATTTTCATTTACAAAACTTAAACAAAAGTAATAAAGATTCCATAATAAGATGGTTAAACCATTTTAAAAAAATGTTCAGTGGATATAAATTAATTTTATTAACAAATATAGTTTCAATATGTAAGAAAATAATATGATTTTTGTTTCAAATATTATAAATAATATTGTTATAATAAAATACTGTCTTTTTGGCACATAATGAATTAGTAAAGATATATTATTGATATTGTGTTATTTAACTAGGTTAAATTTAATTAATATATTAAATTCAATGGTATCAAACTTGAGATTTAATTATTTTAATTAAAGTGAATTTAATTTGAAAAGTGCACTTTCCGAAATATATATTTTTTATAAAACAGTCATGCAGGGATGTTAAGTTGGTATTGGAGTGATCCATTTGTCACCTATTGTTTACCAATTGTAGATGTTTAATATGTCAATACCCTTTTAAAATTAAATTGCACATGCAATTTGTAGACTTTATGACTCTAGTTGTATACTCTTATAGTCTTATAGGTTGTAGTATTGACTCATAAGTTGTAGTTATGGCTCTAAAAAGACAAAGAAAAGTAGTTCTCAAAAGTGCCAAACATTAAGAAAATTTACAAGAAATGAGGCAACCAAAAATTCTTCTAACGAACCGTACTTACCTAATTAGAGATTGTTGAAGAACCTAAAGCTTCTAATTGTACTAAATTTTCTAGGAGAAAATGGACTGTATATTCAGAAAAGGGAAAAAAGGATACCTATATAATATACCTTGTAGGTCTGATTAAATGTGTGACTTTTTTTCCAAAAGTAGTAACAATAACTATAAAGGAACAGCAAAACTCAGCGGAGTTGATCAGAAAGCTTATATGTTCACTCTGATTCTTTATACTACAAATTAACATTCCCCAGATAATCAGAATGAAAAAATACTGACAGGAACTACACAAAAATTTAAATTATCTAGTAATAAGTGCGCCAATTTTATATTCCATTTTATCAGTTTCTCTTCCTTTCCTTCCATTTCCTTTCATTTTCCAAAGTTTACCAAACAGAATTAATTAAGACAGTCTCTGCCAATGTATTTGAATTTGTAAACACTAGAATCTTATTGCGATTAGTATTTTGGTAAATTTGAACTATTTTGCAGTTTTCAGTAAACTGCAATGCATAAAAAAGAAGAAAACTTTGACCAGAAGAAACTGGACTTGGAAGTATGGCTTCAAAAGATGGAATCCAGATTGGCTGGTATGGCCCCTGTGGGCCATACAGCAGATGTACTGGAGGTTCAGCTAAGAGAGCAAAAAGGCTTGCATGCTGAATTGCATCAGTTCAAGTCGCAAATAGAGAATTTTCAACACCTAACGCAACGATTGATCACTGCCCACCAACATGAAGACACCAGCAGATATAAAAAGGTGAGACTTTAAGCTTAGTATCTAGTTATCATTTAAGTTTCTGCCCACAATCCACACATCCAATAAAGTCTGCTAGGACAATAATTTCTTTCTTACTGCTTATTTTATCCAGCACAGATGCAAAAATTTGCAAGAACTCATTTTATCCTTTATATCTGCATGATTATTCAGTGCACATACTATTACCACAACTATGACTTGATTTAGGTATGTAATTTTTATTCTTTCATTGACTGCTGTCCATGTTTTAATGTTTGTTGTCCATTTTTATGTATCACAATAGCTGCTCCTGCTTTTGCTTGTCCACTTTTATCCACTTCAATATTCATTTGCCTTTCCCATAGCCTAGTCATTGGCTTTTAGTTCCTGTGAAATTCCAAGGCTTTGCTATCAAGTTTTTAACAATTTTTAAAATTTGTGTAGGTGCTGAGGGCCTAGCCCAGCTTTCCAATCATCATATTGTTCTAATTTATCCAATTAAATGCAGAGATCTGAACTATCAAATGACTTTGACAAATCTAAAACGATCTCATTCCCAAAATTTTGATTCCAATCTTATTTTGTTAATGCTGTCGGAACCTTAGACCAGTTATATTAGTCTCTTTGAATTAATTTTGTTTTAGGCAGCGGAATACATAAACCAACACTACCTCCGTCTCGATGCGTGCATCATCAACCGTGGCAAACTCCTCCATTCCGCCCTGAGCTCCCTCCAGAATCTCGACAGGTCTCTTGATAAGTTTCTCGCGTGGCTCAGCGAAGCGGAAAGTGTGGTGGAAACATTGGAAGGCGACAACGAATCGAGAAGAGCTACCCTTCAACTCAAAGAATTACAAGCTGATATTGAACTACAAGCACAAACACACCACGCTCTTCGAAACTCCAGTTTGGCTTTACTAGGAACGCTTGCAGCTGAAGATGCCCTCATGTTGCAGCTTAGAGGGGACGAGATGGAGAGAAGATGGCAGGTAATAATATAAACTATAATGGTATGCAAGTTATAAGAAAATAAAAGGATTTTAAATTAAGTTTAGCACTAACCCATATCAGTTTTGACAATACGGTCATAAAAAAGGTACTTATATGTTTTTAAGTTTGTTATATCCAGAATGCCACACAGTTTTGTTTTCTGAAAATTATCTAAATATGATAAAAGTTATATTTTTTAGATTTTGACAGAAGTGTCGAGGCTGTTTTTCTTTAGTTTCTTTAATATTGAAAATCTGGTCGCTTAAGATCCCCGGTTGACTGCAGCTGTTTACTTTAATCATCTTTTCTCGAATTGAACATTCAAAAAAGAGTCGAAAAAGTCAAGAGTCCGCCATTTTGTTTTTTTTTTTTCGGTGAAAATGTTTTATTGTAGTACCGACCATAGTCAATTCGTTTTAGAATATGAAACCATTTTGTTTGTTGCTTAAGATGATTCGTTTCCAATAAATGATGACATTTTAGATGAGTTTGAGTAATTTTCAGAGTCGCCAGGTTAAAAAAATTGTTAGTAGTTTAATGTATGTATTTTCATCAGTAAAAAGTTCGATTTTGAAATATCTTTTGTGATATAAATAAAAGGTATTTAACAAAAACACGTTATTTTGGAGGAACCTGGCCAATATCGGTCCATATCTAAATTCTCAGTTATCTTTAGCCATATTTTCGGCAGCTGATAATGAATTTTCCTCAACTCCTGTTCTAGCTTTCGTGTAAGGCTTTGTTCTGTGTAAGAATTGGTTCTGGAACAATCTTAACTATCTCTTTATCCATATCTGGAATTTCTCCAATCTGCTTTTGAGAAGTTGTATCTTCGTCGAAATTTAACTTCATGTTGTTGTACAGCGTTCCTAATCAAGCACATGTAAGGACTTTATTGAGTGTTTGGTATCGGAGGTCTCACTTCTTTTGAGCACTCATGTGTGATGTTAAATCACGAAGAGAAGATGAGGGTTATAACATTTTTGTCATCTTCTACTATTAAAGGAGACAGGTCATTAGCATGGATTAGCTGTAACTTGTTTGTTTCAGACCACACTATAATTCTCTCTTTTTTCTCTTCTCCATTTAATTCTCCATTTTGTGCTCTTTTGTGCTGTCTCCAATAATAAAATTAACTTTGTCTTTGTTAAATTAGTTGGCCTTTTTGCTTCTAAAATCTATATTTGACTTTTCCTGTATTGGGGTGATTGTGTAGTCATTCAGTTTGAAGATGATGCTTTGGAGTGGAAGAATTCTCGTTCCTTGTCTTTATTTCTTATAAAGAGGGCATATTATTTCATTGTTCCATATTTTTGCCATTTCTTCTTTACAGAATCTTTAAAAACCGCAGGCTACAGGTTGTTTGAAGATGATGATGATGATGTGCCTTCTTTATGTACTGGTCGATCCCAGTCGCTGTCAGCTGGTGGCCTCGTTTCTGCAGGTACTCTGTCTTCTTTGATGGCTTTGGTACGTCCAGTCTGAGATAAATGCAATGAGAAGTACCAGGGTATAATATGATATATACCATATATAATTTTTATAATTCTAATTTTAAGTCACTTTGAATGAAATAGAGGTTCTGTCATATCTATGTGGTTTTAATAATTATATTTTTGATTCAATCAATTATGAAGAATTAAAGTATGCATGACATATTATTTATAATATGCTATTTTCATATTTTTTTTTATAAGAAGCTTTTTTTAGTACCTTTTTATATAAAAACAAATTATTTTTTTACAAACTGTATATAAATGCTGACTGTAAGGGAACCTGGCATAAAATGACATACTACTTTTTTGTCGTCCAATAACTTTTTTATTTTTTTAATAAAAATTTAAAAAAACATAAATGTTGTTCATTGTTTGGAAGTAGAACAGATCATGGAACATAAAAATCTAACAACACAATATTTTTTAATTAAAAAAAGGAAACAAAATAAACGTTGCTATGTCATTTTATCCAAGTATATTCGGCTAAAACGACACACGCACATGGATAAAATGTCATATAAACTAAATTAGCAAAGTTCACAAATAAATTTTTTGCACGATTTTGAGATACCAGCACAATCACAGTGTGCCCATTTTGAGCATTTTTGGCACCTAATCCAGAATTCTTTGGACCTTGAATGGGAGTACAAACTGTTACAATATAAACATGGAGGATTATTTTCGTCTTCGTCATCATCTGACACAATGGTCTTTGTTTCCTCCTCGCGATCTTGTGTCATTAAAGTCAGATTCTTAATTGTTCACTTTGCAGCTTGACGTTTTTTCTGTAGCTCGCTTCTCGAGTGCTTTGGCTTTTTGTTCTTTCATATTTGGGGTAGCCGTTAGAACTTTTGTTCCTTCTGATTTTCTTTTTTTGGAGCGTGACTGGACACCTGAACACGATGGAAGAGGTGAAATGTCAAGTGGACGAATACCAGGATTAATTGAAGAACAACTTTCAAGTGAGTTTGGTCTAGGTGTAGAAACCGGTTTGTTTCCTTGATCTGGAAAATCTTGATGCCGCAAAACATTATCATTCTCTTCTTTTGACTTTGTTCCAGGTTGAATTGCAACTTCTTCTTGAATATCTGTTATTTTGGAAGGATTAAATAAATAATCAGGGAATATGTCGGGATTAAGGGGCCAAATTCCAGTCTTTAAAAATCCACTAACGGCATTTTGGTGTGTAGCTGCTTTTCCATACGCTGTAGCAAATAATCCTCCAACTTGGTATTGCGAAACTGTTCTGCCTGGATGACACTTCATCCACTTGGTAACTTCTTGATCATAGTAGCTCTTTAATGGACCAAAGAAACATACATCTAACGGCTGTAGACGATGGGTACAGTGCGGCGGAAAACACAATATCACTATTCCATGTTCTTTGGCAAAAGTTAAAACATTAATGTTTTTATGGCTCGCATGCCCATCAAGCAACAGCATAACCTTGTCTTCTATAGAAGGATTAGAATATTCTTTAAAACGTTTCATCCATGTTTGGAACACTTCGCCTGTCATCCATTCTGTTTCCTGTGCTATTCCTAAAGTTCCTAAAGGCGCTTAATCTTTTAATTCTTTTTTCCAATTTTTCCTGGGGAATATAAGTGTTGGTGGAACATAATTCCCCACTGAGCTAATGCAAGCAACCATCGTTATGTGCTGCCCTCTTTCCGCACTTGTAATTAGGCCCACTTGCTTCCGACCCTTGGTTGCAAATATTTTGCCGGGTTTTGAACCGTGGATAGGACTGATTCATTTACATTCCATATGCGTGTAGGATTAATTTTGTTATTTGTAATAGTGTCCTCTAAAAGTTTTAAAAATTGGCAATTTGCGGCCTGTTGAATGATTGCGCTCTTGCTACAGACGTGGACTCGGGTTTTCTAAGGGATATATCGGGGTGTCTAGATCGAAACCCTCGTAACCAATCCAACCAGCCATCTTAGTGGTTGTGTTAAATCGGTGTACTATTCCATTTCGATCTGCTAACTGGTAGGCTAAAGAACGAATGTCATCACAAGATAATCCAAACAAACTTGATTCTAGGAGTTTTATGTGTGTTACGAGGTCTCTTTCTAATTCTACAGAGAACGTAGTTTCGTACCGGCCAAGACCTTTATTAGTACCTGATACCCGTTTTACATTTATTGCCCTACCAAAAACACCACGTGCGAACTTCTGCAAGGACCACCGACTAATAAGCCTAATGAGTCACTTTTTAAAACTTTTCCTGAGAATACTTCACACTAGATTGTTTAAGAAATGTGAAGAGGTCAGTGGATGGAGTCAGTTTGGTTTCAAAAATGGACTTGGCACGAGAGAAGCGATCTTTAGTATGCAAACATTGATACAGAATTGTTTAGATCAAAGAAAGGATGTTTTTATCTGTTTTCATCGATTACGAGAAAGCATTCGATAATGTAAAACATGAATTGATGATAAAATACCTACAAGAGTTGGGATTGGATGCAAAGGATATAAGAATCATCGCCAATCTGTATTGGAATCAGACAGCAACAGTACGTCTTCAAAATTTCAACGAAACAGAAGATTTTCTCCATTAAAAAAGGAGTAAGGCAAGGTTGTATACTGTCCCCAATGCTGTTCAATTTATACGTAGAAAAAGTCTTCGCAGAAGCAGTGGAGGACTCTAATAAGGGTATTAAAGTTAACGGCATATTTATTAATAACATCAGGTATGCCGACGATACAGCCATAGTGGCAGATAACATCGAAGATCTTCAATGCCTTTTAAATGATCTAACTCTTGCAAGTGAAGCTCGGGGTTTGAAAATAAATATCAAGAAGACAAAATCAATGATTATAAGTAGAAATGATTACCCCAACGCAAAGATATATGTCTCTGGAGAAGAAATCGAACAAGTCAGGCAATTCAAATACTTGGATGTTTGCTGAATGAGGGTTGGGACCCCGAGAATGAAATAAAGAGCAGAGTTGAACAAGCCAGAAATGCTTTTTTGAGGCTTCGTAAGTTTCTGACTGATCGCAAATTGGACTTCAATCTCCGATACAAGATGCTTAAATGTTACGTGTGGCCTGTTCTCCTGTACGGAATGGAAGCATGGACGTTAAAGGCCAGTTCCATTAACAAACTTGAAGTGTTTGAAATGTGGTGCCTGCGTCGAATGCTCAGAATATCATGGACGGACAGGGTCAGAAATGAGGAAGTACTCAGAAGAGCGGGCTTACAGGATAGGGAACTTTTTAATTATGTAAAAAGTAAGAAGACTGCATACTTGGGGCACATTATACGAGGAGAACGATACACTTTTCAGCAACTGATTCTCGAAGGGAAAATAGAGGGTAGGAGAGGTCTCGGACGTAAAAAAATGTCATGGCTGCGCAATATATCGACAATGGACAGGAATCCACAGCTATGAAATGCTTCGCAATGCTGCTAAAAACAGAATTATTTAAACCAGAATATTTAATATCTCACCTGACAAGACGATGTACGGTGGACGCCTACGCAGAAATGCACGGCACCTTAATAAGAAGAAGATACCCGTTTATTCTTGTCTGATGCTCGTATTCTTAAAGTAGCTTGGGGCACATTAAAAGTTATCGATGCTTTTAACCAGCCCATGTCTCCACACTGGACTGCCTGGATGGCTCTTTGCATTTGTACTGGATCCCAAGACTGGCGTGTACTTTTCCTTTCGTAGTGTCCCACCATACTAAAAAAGAAAATACCATACATTAATATTCTACCTACCATATTATTATTAAAATTTATATGGGCAAAATGACATACTATGTCATTTTACCCGATATTTAATATGTCGTTTTACCCAAGAGTGAACAAGAACACGTTTTTTACAATAAATTTTTTGTTTAAACAAACAAAGCTTCCAAACATGATGTTTCTGTTAATATGAATAACAATACATACCTGGAACTAACAGAGATATAAAATTTTAAAGTTTTAAACGTTTTATAGCGAAGTATACGTGGCCTACCAAAATATTTTGGTACTCAATAAAGCACAAACCACCTTTTAACAAGTAAACGACTGAACTGATCGCGACGCCCGTTGGAACATCAATTATGCACCACGTGATGCTCTTGTATAAAACTTCTTAGCGCATAGCCATGTTGCCAAGTTAGAGATACACCGGATGTGTCATTTTACCCTAGTATGCCATTTTGGGCCAGGTTCTATATATCTTTTGTAGGTGTGGCATTTCTAATTACCTTTGTATATCTTAAAGGTATAGATTGGTTGCTGTGAGTTTATCAGTTCGTTGTTAATTTTTGTATAGTAAATTCCTTAGCTTGCCTTAATTTTCCTACGCAATTTCTGGCGAATTTCTTTCTGTCTCGATGTTTATATGCTTTTCGTGTTTTATGACAATGTTATTAATTGTTATTATTATTTTATTATATTTTATAGGCACTTTGTACTCGAACTTCAGATCTCAGAAACCGGCTGGAGCACAATGCTGACTATTGGAACGCTTTGTTACTTTCATTAAGGGAACTTACCGAGTGGGTTATCAGAAAAGATACAGAACTCGGTCTCGCCGCCAGACAGGACGACCACCGGGCTTTTAGGCAACAACTAGAAGATAAGCGACCTCTGGTAGAGAGCAGTTTGAGAAGTGCTAGACAATTTGTAGCCGGAGATCCTGCTGGTGAATTGGCAAGGAATCTGAGAAGGGAATTGGTGAAGTTGTCGGACAAGTGGAATGCTCTCATCGATAAGAGCGATCAGTTAGCTGCCAGATTTGAACAGAACTCGATTGTAAGTATATATTTATATGCATAAAAAATATGTTGAACATTGATGTAATTTCTCTCATTCAAATATATTTTAATCATTTCCTACCAAATCTTAGCGAGTCTCTTTATCATATCGATTTTCGTATTAAAATAAAGCTATTATATAAATTTATTTTCTGGTATAAGACTGGATAGAAACCAAACGAAGAAGCATATGTCGAAAAATACATAGAATAGGGGAGAGTGTTGTACCTTGGGTCAATTTTTAGTTTTTATTTTTTTCTAAATCCTAAAATTATATATTTGCAAAGTTTATCCAATGCATTAGTTACTTTGTCTATTTGGCTACATGCTTTCTTTTTATTGACACACTTTAAGCTTAGTAGTTAGTTAAAAAATATATCTTAGCAGACCCTTGCATATTGACCCAAGGTACAAACTGGTAATGTACCTTGGACCAGCATATATTGTACCTTGGACCAGCATTATATTGTACCTTGGGTCAGTTATAAAAAAAAATAGAACAAATCTTGAAATGTTTTATTGAATATCTCAAAATAATCAGAACATTATAATTAACTAATGATTAATTTAGTACATAAAAACTTATTTGACATTATATCCGCTAAATTTAACATTAAATTTCAGGTGCGCATCGTGACGTGCAGTTCCGCTTATTTTGTGCGGTTGTGGAAGTTTACGTACAATATCATTGCGTAAAAAATCATAAGTCTCGGTTGAGTCGTTTATAAACTTATTGGAATCTAGAATTCTACGTAAATATCTAAGTTCATTATTAATTCCACTGTTCAGTATCTCGGCAACATAATAAACAAAAGATTTCTTCCCTGTCACTTTCACTAAAACAAAGTCTCCTTTTTTAATCTCGTTATTTTCAGATAAGTCATATATTTTTTGGTCATTTAATAATTCTTCTTCTCTAGTTACCAAGTCCTCAAATGTACCTCCATCACTTGAACTTGATTCACTATCATACTTAGCAGCTCTCTTTGGCACATTTTGTATATCTTCTGTCGCTATTTGCTTTGTAACTGCCTGCACTTTCTCAAATGATACCGTCTTTCCCTTTTTAAGCGTAGCTATTTCATCTTTCTCTGGAGTGTCGGTAAGTATTCGTGACTTTCATCTTGCTCTTCCTAACTTCTTTTTGCGAACAGGTGCCTTTGGATAGGGTCGCAACATTTCAGGTGTAATAGAACTTCCTGAAGTTCCTGCTTGACGAATATTTGAGGTAGAAGGAGTAGAGACTTCCATTTCATTAACTGTAGTTTTAGTTTTTTTCCCCGTCCTGTTCAACATTGACTTGCTCGCGACTGTCAGTAAGCTGGTTTAAAGGACGATCAGTTACATACGAAGACAGAAACTCATTATCTTCAAAAATGTAAATCTTATGTAAATCTTAATAGGTTGTCCAGGGTGCATAATCATCCACTCATTACAGGCGGTATTATAGTAAGTTTTCATCGGTCCAAAAACTGTTCGATCGAGCGGTTGCATTTTGTGGCTGGTGTGGGGATGAAACGTTATGGGTAGAATTCCATTCTTCTTACAGAAATTAATGACACTTACATTCACGTGGCTATCGTGATTATCCAAAAGTAATATAACTGGATTTTCAACTGTTGGTTTCACATGATTTTTAAAGTGTTGTAGGTATTCCAAAAACAATATTTCGTTTGACCAGCCGGACGGATTTGCACCTCCTATAGTTCCAACTGGACAACCTTTTAGCATGTGAGGCTTAAAATTAACCCTCGGAAATATCATCATTGGCGGAATATGATTTCCGATTGCATTTATTGAGGCTATCAAGGTTACATTTTGACCTCGCTCTCCACTTGTCATTTGACCTAATTGTTTTATTCCCTTAGGTCCTACAATTTTTGGTGGTATATGGACAGTCGTTAACCCTGTCTCGTGACAATTCCAAATTTTTTCTGGGGAAAAATCTCCACGAGACAAAGCTTCTTTGTAGTTCTTAAAAAAGGAATATATATTTGTTTTATTGAAGGATGTTGATCTGGCCAAACTTGTAGGTTCTGGTTTACGAAGTGATAAATCTTCATGTCTTCTAAGAAACTGCCTCAGCCATTCCTTGCCAGCTATCTTTTTTTGGTCCCAAGAAGGCGGATGAGACTTGTTATTTGCAGTTGCATACTGGTATGCTAAAGTACGAACTTCCATTTTCGTCAAACCATAGTGGAGGCGTGCAGCAGTGAGAAGATATTTTTTTAACTCAGCTTTCTCTTCTTTATTAAAAACTTGTTTTACATTATTGGCAGCAACATAAGAAAATTCTGAAGCCCCCGACTGCCTGAAGGATTTTACGTGCCTGATCAGCGTGGTTTTTGATATGTTATAGCACTTTGCTGCTTCCCTAATTGATAATTCACCACTTATGCATTTATTTGCGGCTGCAGTTAAATCCTGGGCATTTAAATGTGGTCTTTTGATACCCACTTTACTTCTCGGCATTTTAAAATGACTATCTGAAACAATACTAAAAGGTTTTTTTGGTAACAGACACACCAATTAATTTAAATAAAAGTCAAAATAATGTTAATTCGCAATAAGATTGTACCTTGGTCTGGTCCAAGGTACACGACCTACCGGTGACCCAAGGTACACAACGTAACAATTTCAGCTGTTTTTTGTTTTCTAATATTAGGTTATGCGTTTAGACAAAAAATACATTCATGATTATCAAGCGTAAATATATATTGTCCATTACAGATAATAATAAAATATATACTTCATCTAATTTAGATAACGACTTACGTCATTATCTACGTCAGAGATCGAAGTTGACATAGTTGCCAAAGTATAAAAAAATCCTGACTCCATTTTAAATCAAATAGATTACATAATTATTGCAAAAGTATTACCATCTCTTTACAACGACTATTTGAATTCTTACATGACATTTTTAAAATAAAACACACTAATTTTGTTTTAAAAAGAACAGATTTTATTAAATAGTTAAAAATATAAAACAAGAGATATTCACTTTAAAATTCAAAATAATGAAGTTCAAAAAGTGTCAACGCCGCAACTGTCAAATAAGTATTACCAATTTATGCCAAAATTTTACCTTCGTTCGATTACAGTTACAGTGTGTTCCGAACAAATGTTCTTGATAAAAACGCTTTATAATGTATTTATACAAATTAAATGAAACATGTTATTGTGTATTTCTTCAAGTTAACATTAATAGAAATTTTTAAATATTATTTCTACGAGGATATAATAAAATATGCCTAGTGGCTGTAATGCCAGTGTACTCGGTAAAGTGATTCTAAAAAAGAACACACTTACACCCTAAATATTTTGTGTTGGTATCATGTGACGTCACAGGCTATGACGCCGATGACGTGCATCGTTATATAAATTAGATGAAGTGTATATATTTACATTTGAAGCGGATTTTAACAGATAACAAATAGGTAAATAATTTACTTACGATCAAACAAAACACAAAACGCTCTGCAAGTCACCACGCTGCAATTTTTTGATAAGTGTATTTAGATGCCATCTACCGCTGATATTGTTAAACCACTAATTCAACCAAATCGAAGAGAAATCTGCAGTGGGTAAGAAAGAAAGTCAACTGACCCGAGGTACAACCCGGTCCGAGGTACTACACTCTCCCCTATGGCTTTATCGATATAATTTTAATTTAAGAAAAACGCCACTCCCCAGGTGCCACTCTTTTTTTTTGCGATATTTCTAACGTAGTGTTGATGTCTATGTACTTGTTTCAGAAACTCAAACAATTGACTATTAGTCTTGAAGAAGCATCTTCGGCAGTGTCTCGTCTCGAACGAGCTACACTAACATGGAGTGGCCCTAGAAGTGCTGCTGAAGCCAGGGAACTCTTGTCAAATCTTCGAACTCTAGAACAACAACTGCCTTCCCTACAAAGAACTTTAGAAGAAGCGAGGATACAAGCTGCAAATATTGGTTTGTTATAAGTTATTACTGAACTTTTGACATTTTTCTTATAATAGCTTTTAATGCAGGAAATGGTCTACCAAATAATCTCGCCGCACAGTTAGAAGACTGTTCTGCCAGGTGCAGGGCACTGCAGGCAGCCATAAGGGAAAGAAGGGATCAACTGACGAGTAGTACCCAAGGTAGGTCATTTTGTTTAGTATTACTGTGTCATTGTTAAATTTTATATGCTCTTCTTCCAAAATAACTTAGTCTGATGATTAGAATGAATTTTTACCGTCTATTCAAATATTTTCTTAAACGGACCTTCTATTATAACGCACAATCAAAAGCATACATTCTATTCGTAGCATGTACCGTAAAATGGGGTGTAGTTGTCCGGTGGGGTGAATTTGACTGAAAAGTTCGAAAATGTTTCCAACGTACGTATTTTGTTATTAATCAGTAAAGTTTATACTCAATTATGTTCATTGTAAATGTATGTTTAACATATTTTATGTAAAAATTAATAAGAGTTTCTTTTCTTCTTGTATATACTAAAAACACGGCCTCGAAATTAATAACTTAATTTATAAGAAAATGAATATTCTTGAACTTTGATATAAAAATCATTATTGGGACCGTGCAAGTTCGGAAGAGCGACACCTGGTGTCGTAAATCAGCAAAATTTACTGCGCTTTCATGTTAGATCGAGGTTAACGGATAACTGTCAAGGACGTAGTCCCAAAAAAGGATAAGAAGAAAAAGTAAGATTGAGGTTATGTCGGTATGTTATTAAAAGATAAACGTTGTATGTAGTGTCAATACAATTAAATACATTATTAAATTACAACATTACTGTTGATATGGATGCAATAATAAAAACTGGATTTGAGAAAGTAAATCACCAATTAACTTTTCAACCAAGCGCTGAGTCAAAGGGAAAAGCTTTAGTAGTGGCAAATTATGTTAAGAATGTGGAAGAATTAAGAAAAATGGACAAAGCTATGTAATACATAGCTAAACTTAAAGTTACATTAGCATTAAACTTGATTTTTGGATTAAAGTGAACTCTAAGTGAGTGTTACGAAACTAAAATTTTCACTTACAAGTGAACTTTTATTTATTATTTATTTCAAACTAACTTTAAAATATAAATCCACTTTTCTGTTTGTAGTAAATTGTGCTTGGAAGTTGGAAACAAATAAAACTTAAATTGACAATTTTTTGTTGTATTTTTATAAATTATAACACAGCATTTACTAAATCCCATTTTCTTCAGTGACAGAAGGTGTAAATAAACAAACGAATATGAAATATGACAATTTGACAATTGACAATATGAATTTATGAAATGTGCAGAAGAAAATGCAAGATTTCTCCGCTACTCGCGCACGATCGTTTCTCGTATCACATCCAAGTACTTGCACGTCGCCAATACTAAAAATATTATGGGCAACTGTTACTGTGTTTCAACGAATCATTAAATGTAGATAAAAGTGCCAGTTACTAATTTTGAATAAGTTTTTAAGTTTCGATATAATCTTAAAATTTGTCAATTTATGCACTTTTCGCTTGAATTTGGGGCGAAGTTAACCGTCGGAGTAAAGATGTCCATCAAGTCAAAACTTGCAGGATCTTGCATCGTACCTAGATTAAATCGGTGCTGCTTATTGTTTCATTGTGAGTGTGAGTTTAGTTTGAAACGTGGACGGGAGTTGAGTTACAATAAATTTGTAAAATGCCGAGGGTGTAGAAGCGTAAGGATGGTGCAAAAATTCTTAAACAATACAGTGCGGAAACGCTAGAAAATGTTTGACATAAGTTTTAGGTGGAAAAATAAGTGCTAATACATCGAAAAAATACGAAATTCTAAAGGGTACGTTAATGTGGGCGATGCATTAAACAACATGATGGTCAAACTGTTTTTACCAAAGTTGAAAAAGATGATTTTGTGGATGCAGTGATTACTTGTGCGAATTGGGGATTCCCATTAAATACATTGGTTCTTCGTTTAACTGCAAAACATAAAAAGAGCTCGTGCTGCCGTCGATGCTGAAACATTAACAAATTTTTTTGAGGAATTAAGCAAAACACTTGAATTTGTCGACCCTGCTACAATATTTAATTACGACGAAAGTAATTTGTTTACAAACAACTAACCTACTTTAATAATAATTTTTATTAACAAAAAAAGATAACATTCCCTTGCTTTTCTTAAATACATCTCAATAAGATATTATTATAATAATACATGAACAATATACAAATTAAAAAAGAATTTCAACTAAGAAAATTCTAAACTAATATCTCCCCAGACTGGGATCTAACTTCATCGGTTTTACCAATGAACCTTAACGACATAAATATTCAAAAGGCTTACTTGTAATTGTCAGCGCTTGCGTTATATGAAAACAGAACCTCACATTCAAACTTTATAACAATCAAAAATTTAGCTATTGCCGACAATTCAAAGAATTACTTCCTTTAAATGTAGTTACATTAGGTTTTTCAATTAACCTTGGGTAAACCTTTGCGTTTTAAGTTCAAAGCTACCACACATTTCCAACGTTAACCAAAAAAAACTTTTTTGCACATAGTAACAAAAAAACACCACTATGTTGTTACTAGCTAAGTTTTTTAACATCTTAACTCGACATTTCTAAAATTTACGGTATGGTAAATGTTTTTTATTAGATAATATATGGTAGCTAATTATAATTTATTCTCTTTCAGCCCTCTAGGAGCCAAATTAATTCTCTTTGGCGAAAACGTTCGGCGAAACAATTGATCACATTAAAGTTTTTCTTGCAGATTTCCCCAATATTTAAGAGTTTACTATTTAACTTATCTGCAAAGATTAAATTTCTTTTCTATATATATATATATATATATATATATATATATATATATATATATATATATATATATATATATATATATATATATATTATAAGGATCACTCAGACACTGGTTCTTATATCGGTCTCAAGGTGGAGAAATAAAAGACAAAGTTGATAGGCTACTTTATCTATTTTGAAGATGTTTCGCTTTCGTATTCTGAAAGCATCATCAGTTCATCTAAAAAGTACAATATGAGAACCACACAATCATGGAGAAGATGTTATAATTGTTACCTTAAAAAGACATGTAGCATGTCTTTTTAGGGTAACACTTTATATTCCTTGCATGTTTTTGTGTTTCTAATTTCTAATTCTGGATCTTCTTCATCATCTCCTATTTTAAGATACTTCTTAAAATTCTTCCTCATCATTCGCTACGACTACCTGATCATCTGCGAAAAATAAAGTTGTTAGACATTTACCATCGCCTATGTCTATTCCCATTCCGGATACTTGTTTCCTCCACTGCTTTAGCGATGATTGAATATATATTTTAAATAAGGTCGGAGATAGACAACATCATTATTTAAGCCCCTTTGTTATTGGAAATGATTCAGATATAAAGTTTCCTTCTTTAACGGCACTTCTCTCATTTTTGTATATATTTGCGATAGCATCCACATACTTTCTACTAAGACCTCCTTTCGTACTACTACTACTATAAACTTTTATTACAGACTTATTTCATTGAAAAAAGAAGAATTATTATAAATAGTGGAAGTGTATATTAAACCCATAAAATTTTGGATAGTATATATTTAAAAAATATATTTAAGTTGTTATAATTTAACATATTCCAGTAAATATTTGTATTAATCTGGGGTTTCTGGAGACAAATTCGATACACAATAGAGCTCGCTTTTGTAGAACTCGAGTTACTAATGAGCTACAGCACAGATATATCAAAATTTCCATTCGTAAAAACTTCTATATCTTTATCAGCCCCTCAGGCATGCTACCGGAGGCAGAGTATTGTTGGCTACAATAAAATAAAGAATTTTTATAGTCTGGTTCGAGGAATCGTCAACCAATAAGAATTCCTCAGCTACAACCTAGACATGGTTTGCACCGCCTCCACTGGGCTCAAGAACACGTACAGCTCACTTATCAGTTTTTGAATTTTGTGCTTTTTTCAAAGAAGACCAGAATCTGTTTAAATAGTGATAGCCGGCGAATTCGTGTTTGGCGGGAGCCAATAAGATTTGCACAACTAGCACAAACTTCCTTGCGGTGGCGGCAGTGTTATGTGTTAGGCAGGTATTTTTGCAGGTGGGCGCACGGAATTGGTGGTTGTTTACGGTACTCTAACATTACAAAGGTTCATCACACGGATTTTAGACCCTCATGTGAGATTATGGCAAGGAGCTGTGGGTGAAAATATTATATTTATGGATGATACGCCCGCTCACATAAGACTCAGCGGATAACTATCTTAAGACAGAAGGTATTCGCTTTTTGGAGTGGCCTGTGATACCTCCAGACATAAAGCCTTTGAACGTGCATGAGATGTGGTCTCCAGAGCTGTTCATGCCCGAAGGAATCCTCCTAGAACCAATCATGAACTTAAAATTGCCTGTAGAGAAGAATGGGAGAATCTGCCACAGGAAATGATTGATTGACTTGTTAATAGCAGTATTAGAGCTCGAATCAAGGCTTGCATCGATGCCCGTAGTGGAAATGCACGATATTAAAATTGTTAATTACATTTTTTAATTGTCAATTACAAGTTTTTAGTTTTTAATTTTTTATTTATTATGTAGCGGTTATATTTTGCCTACCACGTTGGGTATCACTTAAAGGGGGTTGAAACTGGGAACAGAAATTACTGGGCTGGAGTTAGGGTAAGCAAAAACGTCTACGAACGGCTACTCTTGGATTGGATGGAGAGCTGGGTCGTAAGTAAGTGAATAAAAGAGAGAGTAGGAGGGGTAACTACAAAAAATGAATCAAAAAATACTTACATAGATTTCCTGAGCAACACAACACAAAAAGGGTTCCTAAACTATTTAAATTGGACGCCGTTTAAAATAATCTTCTTACTGGATGGATAGAAAAGCTTTTCTTTCATAAAAAATATAAAAAGGTGAAAATATTTTTAAAGGAAATAATTCTACACTTGGTTTAGAAACATTACATCTTTATTTTTACTTCACGATAAACAGTTATTGCAAATAATATTAACATAATGTAAAAACAGAACTTACTATGGTGCTATTTGTAACAAACTTCAGACGTTGGTGACACTATAAGAATTAAAATTTTTATTAAAATGGAAATATCTAGATTTTTCGAAGGAGCTA